GCAGGCTGCAACTTCACTCATGCCTGACGCTGATGACATAGGTTCTGGTTCCTTGCTGGATTCAATTCTATCTACCCTCTTGAAAAAATGATCCAGGGATGTCTGGGTAGTAGCTCTTTTTTTCTCATCATAGATGACACAGCAGCACTGGACTGCATTCTGAACGGCTGCTGCAAACTTCGTGTACTATTCTACATTCGGCTCCTGTGCCTCAAAACTAACAGTGCCTCCCCAAATAAAGAAAATCCCCTTGCCATTTCCTGTGTTGTGAATCTCTTTGGTTCTTCAGTTACTTCTTCTTCTTCTTGTCTCTCTTCGTCCTTTCTCTGGGTCTCCAACTCCATCAGGTCTTCATTAGTAAGCTCCTCATGTTGCACAGCAAGGAGTTCAATGAAGTCGTTCCCTTGCAGATCTAGCTTGAAATAAAGATACTGTACTACTGTACTCTATACAGTACTATACAGTAAAGTACACAAAAGCACAACCACTTGTAAAGGATGCACGCAGATGACAATGTACACCAGACACATGAACTAACTTACATGATTGGACATGTGAACACACGTTTCCATCTTTGAAAGTTTGCAACTTGAAGGTTCGTGTGTAGGGGACTTACTGTACAAAAAATTATCAAATCACAAAGGAAGAGAGCAAGAGAGGAAGAAAGAAACAAAGGAATTACAAAATAACCAGAAAACAATTAAAATGACAACAGTAGGCCCACACCTATCAATGATCACTTTAAATGTAAATGGACTAAATTCTCCAATCAAAAACCAGAGTGGCTGAATAAATAATAAAAAAGACCCAACTATATGTTGCCTACAAGACACACCTCAGTTTCTCAGTTTTAAGGACACACATCAACTGAAAATGAAGTGATGAAAAAATAAATTCAATGCAAACAGAAACCAGAAGAAAGCAGGGGTAGCTATACTTATACCAGAAATAAAAGACTTTAAGCCAAAGACCAACAAGAGAAAATAATAAGGTCATTACATAATAATAAAAGGATTGGACTTCCCTGGTGGCGCAGTGGTTCAGAATCCACCTGCCAACGCAGGGGACACAGGTTTAAGCCCTGGTCCGGGAAGATCCCACATGCCACGGAGCCACTAAGCCCATGCACCACAACTACTGAGTCTGTGCTCTAGAGCCTGCGAGCCACAACTACTGAGCCCATGTGCCACAACTACGGAAGCCCGCGCACCTAGAGCCCATGCTCCACAACAAAGAGAAGCCAGTGCACTGCACGAAGAGTAGCCCCTGCTCGCCACAACTAGAGAGGAAGCCTGCGCGCAGCAACAAAGACCCAATGCAGCCAAAAATAAATAAACAAATAAATTTTAAAAATAATAATAATAATAAAAGGATCAATTCATCAGGAGGATATAACAATTGTAAAGATTTATGCACCCAACATAGGAGCACCTAAATATATAAAGCAAATATTAACAGATCTGAGGAAGGGAACAGACAGCAATATAAGAATAGCAATGAACTTCAAACACCCACTTTCAACAATGGATAGATCATTCCAAGACAGAAAATCAGTCTAAAAAAAAAAAAAAAACCACTGGAATTAAACTACACATTAGACCAGACGGACCTAACATACATAAAACATTCTATCCAACAGCAAAAGAATACATAAACACACATGGAACATTATCCAGGGTAAATCATATCTTAGGCTACAAACAAGTCTTAATAAAGTTAAGAAGACTGAAATCATATTAAGCCCAACCACAATATAAAACTAGAAATCGATTCGGAATTCCCTAGTGGTCCAGTGATTAGGACTCCGTGCCCTCACTGCTGAGGGCCTGGGTTCAATCCCTGGTCAGGGAACTAAGATTCCACAAGCCGTGTGGTGTGGCCAAAAAAAAAAAAGAAAGAAAGAAAACTAGAAATCAACTAGGAAAACTGGAAAATTCACAAGTACATGGAGATTACACAACATGTTCCTGAACAATCAATGAGTGAAAGAGAAATCAAATATCTTGAGAGAACTAAAAATGGAAACACAACATACCAAAACTGATGAGATGCAGCAAAAGCAGTTCTAAGAGGGAAGTTTATAACAATAAATGCCTGAAAAAAGAAAAATCTCAAATAAACAACCTAATTTTACACCTCAAGGAACTAGGAAAATAAGAACAAACTAAGCCTAGAGTTAGCATAAGGTAGAAAATAACAAAGATCAAACAGACATAAATGAAATAGAGACTAAAAAGAAAAAAAAGATCAATAAAATTAAGAGCTAATTTTTTTAAAAGATAGAAAAGACAGTGAGACTTTCCCCCCCAAAAAAAAGAGAGAGAGAGAGAAATTATAAATGAAACAGGAGACATCACATCAGATACCTCAAAAATACAAAGGATCATAAGAGACCACTATGAACAATTATACACCAACAAACTGGACAACCTAGAAGAAATGGAAAAAATTCCTAGAAACATACAAGCTACCAAGACTGAATCATGAAGAAATGAACAGAAAATCCGAACAGACCAATTACCTGTGAGGAAACTGAATCAATACTCAAAAACCTTCCAAGATAACCCCAAGACTAGATGGCTTCAATGAAGAATTCTACCAAACATTTAAGCAAGAAATAATAGCAATTATTTTCAAACTCTTCCCAAATTAAAAGAAGAGGGAACAATTCCAAATTCATTTTACAAGGTCAGCATTACCCTGATACCAAAGTCAGAGAAGAAATTTTAAAAACAAGAAAATCATTGGCCAATATCCCTGATGAACTTAGATGCAAAAATCCTCAAAAAAATGTATTAGGAAATCATATTCAACAATACATTAAAAGAATCATACCTAAACCATGATCACCTTGCACCCTGAGATGCAAGGATGGTTCAACATATGCAAATCAATCAATGTGATACATCACATTAACAAAATGAAGGATAAAAATCATATAATCATCTCAATAGATGCAGAAAAGCATTTGACAAATTTCACCATCCATTCATGATAAAACTCAACAAACCAGCATTATAAAGGCAATATATGACAAGCCCACAGCTAATGTCATACTCAACGATGAAATACCAAAAGCTTTTCCTCTAAGGTAAGGAACAAAACAAGGATGCCCACTCTCACCACTCTTATTCAACTCAGTACTGGCTTGAGCAATTACGCAAGAAACAGAAATAAAACGCATCCAAATCAGCAAGGAAAAAGTAAATTTTCTCTATTTGCAGTAGACAAGATATCATATAGAATCCCTAAAAACAGCACAATGTTAGAAGTAATAAATGATTTCAGTAAAGCTGCAGGATACAAAATCAATATACAAAAACCAGCTGCATTTCTATACACTAACAATGAAACCTCAGAAACAGAAATCAAGAAAACAAACTTACTATAGCATCAAAAATAATAGTTAGGAATAAATTAACCAAGAAGGTGGAAGATCTGTACGCTGAAAACTGTTAAGACACTCTACTCTTATGTTCAAAGCAGTATTATTCATAGTCAAAGTATGAAAACAATCTAACTGTCCATTGATGGATGAATGGATAAAGAAAATGTGGTATATAGACATACAATGGAATATTCAGCCTTAAAAAAAAAAAAAGGAAATCCTTTCATTTGCTACAGCATGGATGAAACTGGAGGGCATTATGCTAAGTGAAATAAGCCAGACAAAGACAAATACTGCATGGTGTCACTTACATATGAAATGTTTAAAAAAAAAAAAAAAAAGAACTGGAACAACTCAGAAAATGAGAGTAGGAAAGTGGTTGCCAAGGGATATGGGGCAGGCAGAGGACGCAATAGGGAGAGGTTAGTAAGAGTGATACAAACTTTCAGGTGAATAAGGTCTGAGGAAGTAATGTATAACATGGTGACTATACTAGATAACACTGGACTGTATAATTGAAATTTGCTAGGAGAGCAAAACTGAAAAATATTCCCTCACACACAGACACAAAGGTAAACATGTGATGTGATGGATGGGTATGTTAATAACTCAATGGGGTAAATTCTTTCACAATGTATACATATACCAAATAATCACAGTGTACACTTTAAATATCTTACAATTTTATTTGTGAATTTTACCTCAAAAAGATGGGGGGGAGAATACATGAAATAACTTAAAAGTAGGCTTCTAAACATCGATGAGAACAACTTTATTTATACTTATGTATAAATAAATATATTTATATTTATTTCCATTATCGTTTAGCAAGTGTTTGAAATATAGACAATGCAGAGGATCACTGCCTCAATTATCACATTATATAAGAATCGAGTTCTAATTAATATTTTACTACACTTAAAACTACTAAATTTATATATATATATATAACATAGCTTGGCAATAAATTAACAAATCTGATGTCAATGTCCAACAATAAAAATCATGTAGGCTCTATAAAATGGGACTATTCCTACCCATATGTATCAAACTATAAAATGCTAAACTCTGGTACTATGATTAAGAATTGTGATACTAAATTATCTCTGAGCCAATAACTGATCAAATTTTACATACACTGAATTTTAGGAGCAAAAGTTTACCTACTCAGAAGGATACTACTTGGCAGATGTAGTTATATTTTCAGAGGGATATTAAATTAGCTGTTTCTAGTAGATGTAACCAGAAGGTGACTGGAAAGCCATCTGATATTTGTAGATTATCAACAAAATAAAATTTCTTTTGCACTATGAATCTTGGCTCCACACCTTCTTAATTTCATATTATCTGATACAAGTAACTGTTTTCCACACTGCTTATTTTTAAGTTAAAAGTAAATCATTAAGATCACTAAAACAGCATTCCAAATATAAGGATATTTCATTAAAATTTTATCCAAATACCAATGTTAAAAGAAGCAAGACTTATGTATATTAATTCTAAAAATGCTCCTGGCTGTCAAAATCTCTGTGCCTTTCCTCTGCGGAACTAATTTAATGAAGTTTAACAGTATACTGCCATATAACAAAAGAATAAAACAAGTATGTCTTACCTAGTTACTTTGCAGCTCGATTCAATCAAGTCATTTTCAAAGTCAAGCAGGCTAGAAGGCAGATTATATTCCAGTGGGGATGTCAGTCTTTTCAAACGCAATAGACCAACACAAAATTTTGCTCCCATCTCTTCCAATTCTCGAGTACCAATCTGTAAACCCTAAAAATAAAGAAATAATAAACATGTAACTAGGACATTTGCTATCCTCTGGCTATATCTCATTTAAATTACATAAAAGGAATTTGTAACTATATTTTTACTTTTTTTTTCTTTTTTTTTTTTTTTTTGCGGTACACGGGCCTCTCACTGCTGTGGCCTCTCCCGTTGTGGAGCACAGGCTCTGGACGCGCAGGCTCAGCAGCCATGGCTCACGGGCCCAGCCGCTCCGCGGCATGTGGGATCTTCCCGGACCGGGGCACGAACCCGTGTCCCCTGCATCGGCAGGCGGACTCTCAACCACTGCGCCACCAGGGAAGCCCTGTAACTATATTAATAAAAGGCTGGCACTTTGTATGAACCTAGGACTCATAAGCACAGTGTCTTAACAACATAAGATTATTTTAAGTCGCAAAGGAAACTGTCTTAAAAAACCGTTTCTAAAATGTCTATGCTCATTCACTGCGTGCAAAGTATTTTCACCAACACACTGGGGAGGAAAAAACAGATAAACATCTTGTGGTTAAGTTATTCGTAGAGCTCATGGGTGAAATTATATTTTTACAAGATCTTGCTAGTACTTCTTGTAATCTACTACTTGTATGCCGATGTTGAAATATTATAGTGCTACAATCAAGGCTCCAATTTGTATACTTGAACATTACTTTATACATACTTTTCCTGAATGATAAAAATAAATTGCTGAGTAAAAAACAAAGAAAAGAAAGGTAACTATGTCAAAAAATAATCAGAGGAATCTAAGCTAATGAGGCAGCAGTAAAATAAGTTCTTATGTTCCATGTCAGTTAAGAATGCCCATTTCAAAGTTGGTCTACTAACGCAAAAACAAAATTTTACCACAACACTTTTTTAACCAATAGTTTCTCAATAAACAATATATAAGGTTTACCAAAAGTTAAACATTACCAAATAAAAGGATAAAAATGGACTGTAAATCAAGACATTGCTTATCACTTAATTTTCAGATAAAAATGTATCTCTAAAATAAATGCAATCCTTACACCAACAAAGGTTGCAGGCATAGATGAGAGCAGACTAGATTTTCAATGACCAGACTAAAAGCACACAGTAACTGAAGAGATAAATTATAAAAACTGTTATTTACTCTACGTAACACATGCCTTCATAATAATGATTGACTGATTGTTTAAATAGTTTGGCCATCTCCAAATATTCTAAGAAATGTGACCTAACTGACCTAGGAAATGCATTTGCCTTCTTAATCTAAAAGCTTTAGAAAGGCTATGCCTATTTCTGAATTAGCTCATCAAAAATAAAGAATATTTGAAGCCTAAAATTCAGTAATAAGAGAACATTCTTGAGGGTGAAGAGATTTGTTTCTTAAAATATTATTAGACTTACACAACTTATTAGCTAATATTAACAAGTTTGAAAAGTATACATTATGTGTAGGGGGGAGGATGGGGGTATATGGGAATTCTGTAGTTTCCACTAAATTTTTCTGTGAATCTACAACTGCTCTTTAAAAAGTTTATTGGGACTTCCCTGGTGGCACAGTGGTTAAGAATCTGCCTGTCAGCGCAGGGGACCCGGGTTCAAGCCCTGGTCCGGGAGGATCCCACATGCCATGGAGCAACTAAGCCTGTGCACCACAACTACTGAAGCCCTCATGCCACAATTACTGAAGCCTGCATGCCACAACTACTGAAGCCCACAGGCCTACAGCTCGTGTTCCACAGCAAGAGAAGCCACCGCAATGAGAAGCCCGTGCACTGCTATGAAGAGTAGCCCCCACTCGCCGCAGCTAGAGAAAGCCCGGGTGCAGCAACAAAGACTCAATGCAGCCAAAAATAAATAAATAAACTTATTTTTAAAAGTTTATTAATTAAAAAAAACTTTAAAAAAGTATATGTTATGATCAAAGCACTGAATTTTAGATGTAAAAAACTTAGCTTATTATTAGTAGTAAGACATACTTCTCTCCATAGGAGTTTTAAATCAATGTAACTCTATCAATGGAAATCACGTAAAGTATATATATATATATATATATATATATATATATATATATATATATATGTCAATGTAAATCGTATAAAAGAGAAATGACTATACATTAGGTATCTATTTTATTTTAAAAATTTTATAAAGTAATTTTTAGAAAATCGTCTAACGTTTTATGTTTCAAAATATATTTTAGCGATTTTTTAAACGTAGTATTTTCAATGACTAAATAAATTTATCAAAACACAAAAAGAACATTTAAAAAAATCCAATGAAAGTCTATAAGTAGAATCCAAATATAGTAAGAAAGTGCTACTATTATTATGCAACAGATGATTTCAAGGGGCATGCAAGTCTCAGCTTCCCTGACTTCTTCTCTCCCTACTCCCAGAGACTAGTTTCACAGACACTGACACTTTAATTTACCTTCTCCAGCCGGACTGCATCTCTTTAAGAACAAATAATTTATAGTCTATTTCCCTAAATCATAGGAACTACCTATGGTCCTTTACAAAAATGACTGTCAAGCTTTTTTCCATCCCACACACTTATAGTCCACTAAAGCAATGATTAGGAGGCAGGGTCTGTGGGCTGGAGTGCTCATGCTCCTCTCTTACCACAATCACGCCTTTGGAAGTCTAAAAGACACTGTTTTACAATATTTGAAGAGATTTCTAAAGATAGCACATTTTGGAAGAATAGTATACTGTGGTCAACCTAAATCTTAGGGAAGAGTCACTCTACAGAAAGTACTGAAATTTCACTAAGTTCTACCCATCTAGGCCCCCAAAGTTTGAACGTCAGTTGCAAAATCTATACAATTTTCTTCCAGTTTGTTACAGACTGGAAAAATCATTTAAGCTCTCCACTTGAACATTTTGGCATCAATCATAATATGTTTACATTTTTAATACTAACCAATTGGAAGATTTTTAACTCTTTCTAAACATAAAGTTATAATCACTTTTATGTGACATATATGAAAATCACTATGAGATTCAGATTCCTCTCGCCCATGTCAAAAAAAACAAAACACAACAAAACAGATTCTGAGTGGAATAATTAGCATGACACCTGAAAAGCTTTTTGTGGCCAAGGCAAGAAAAATAAATATCCGGGTTTACAGTTGCTTACCTAAGGTCCAATTCATTGCCTTTTAAGTTCTCAATCTTTTGTGGTACATACATACAATGGAATATTACTCAGCAATAAAAAAAGAACAAAATAATACCATGTGTAGCAACATGGATGGACCTTAGAGATTGTCATACTGAGTGAAGTAAGTCAGACTGAGAAGAACAAATATTGTATGATATCGCTTATATGTGGAATCTAAAAACATGGTACAAATGAACTTATCTACAAAATAGAAACAGAGTCACAGATGTAGAAAACAATCTTATGGTTACCAGCAGGGAAATGCGAGGAGGGATAAATTGGGAGATTGGGATTGACATATACACACTTCTATACATAAAATAAATTAACTAATAAGGAACTACTGTATAGCACAGGGAACTCTACACAGTACTCCGTAATGACCTATATGGGAAAAGAATCTAAAAAAGAGTTGATATATGTATATGTATAACTGACTCACTTTGCTCTACACCTGAAACTAACAAAACATTGTAAATCAACTATACTCCAATAAAAAAAAATTTTTTTTTAAGTTCTCAAACTTTAAAATTAAAAAATTCAAAGTCACCTAACATTTAATTACTCTTAAATTTCAAAAGTAATGTCTGAACTCATTGTTTCCCATAAAAGCCTATGGTACCATAGGAGGAGAAAAGGAGTCTTAGTAAAGAAAAAAAAAAATTAGTGAAGGAATATGCATTTAAAAGTCACACACACACAAAATCTAAATTAAAAAAGCTTAGTGTAATGTGTTTATTTCTAAATGCATAAAAATATATTTATATCCAATAAATTAAAATGATAGAACATTTTATTAATAATGTACTACTTGCACAGCTCATTAAAAATTACTAACCGTTATTTAAATGTGTATTACAGCATGCTTTCTTAAAAATTATGACTGTAAATAGACTCAACTAAGATTTCATAAGGATCCAAAGCAAGCTATTTAGTTCAGAGAAGTAAAAAAAAAAACAAAACGGTTCTTAAGATCGCATATAATTCAATTTCATTAGTGCAAGTTTACATTTAGCTCAGTATAACAAACATATCATTTAATACATACTTGAAAACTACTAGACCATATATGGAAGACTTGAAATATTTTTATGGCTGGAAGTCCTGAGATGTTTTACCTTATATTTTCCCTGATCACAGCCACACAAAGTACTCTCCATGGTATAGCTTCTTTGTACTCCTATCTCTCTCCAAACTACAACACGTGCTGTAGATTCTTTAGATTTTTCTACTACGAAGCTACAGCTGCTCATGCAAAATGCTGGGGCAATATGGCTCAGAATCTTAGGCAAAGTCTGCAAAGATAAGAATGATAAAATATTTCAAGAGCTTTCTTCTTTTGTCATTTAAAATTATTTTAATTTGTAAATTTTGAAAAATTTTTATGAAAGCATAGTCATTAGAGCAGTCACGTGGATCTTCTTCCTATATCCCCTGCCATTCAAAACACTGAAAGAATCCTCTTACTAAATTAGTTAGACTTTTCTGCTTTCCTAGACAAATATTAATCAGAAAATAGAATGAACGAAAGGATAATATTCATAGTACCAACCAATCAGTGGAATAAAACCATGTAAAAAAGACATGTTTTAAAATATGAAAACATATTTCAAAAAATGAAGAAACTTTAGTCATGAAAATGGCTTGACTAAGAGATTTAACACTGTAAACGTCAACCACCCCTAAATGAAACAATAAAGCTAAGACAGTCACAGTCTAAATGCCTACAACATTTTTGCAACTTAAAATTATTCTCAGGTTCACGTGAAAATGAAATATAGCAGTATACCCTGGGGAATTCTGAAAGAAAAGGCTATGACTGGAGAAATAATCTGACAGATAATTACATATCTAACATTAGTTAAATGATGATACTGGTATAGGAATAGATGCATCTTTAGAAAGAGAGTTCAGAATTAGAACCAAAGGTATTTGTTAAAATTAGTATTATCATTAGTGAGGAACATTGATCATTCACGAAAAGCTGACACAACTGGTCAGCCACTGAGAAAAACCAGCTGAAGTCACTCTCCATTGAATTAACTCTAATTAGATTGTGAATTTAAATTTTAAATTAATAAGTTAAATTTTTAAATGAAACTACAAACAGTAAACATAGAACTCTACTTTTAAAATCTTAGAATGAGAAGTCTTTCTAAGCCTCAAAACCCAGAAGCTACTTTAAAAAAAAAATCAACAAATATGATAAAAGTTTTAAATCACTACACATCATAAACAAAAAATTTTAATATAAAGAGTATACTTATAAAGTTATTTTAAAAACAATAATTTGATACTTGTACAAAGGTAAGCAGAGAATATGAGAAAAGGCTATTTTTAAAAAAGAGAGAGATCATAATTGGCCAAACATAGAAAAAGATACTTGACCTCATATATTATAATTACAGATACACAAATTAAAACCATCAGATATTTTTTTCACCTGGCAAAGATGATAGTAAGATGTTTGGAGAAACAGCCCTATTATTCACTGTGGAGTATCAATTTGTACAATCCTTATGAAAAACAATTTGGCAATATTAATGAAGTGACCACCACCAAGGGACAGTGAAAAAATACATTTTGGTATAGCCATACAATAATAACAAAAATACACAATGAAAATCTTGTGTGGCTATCAAAAAGATGAAGACAGATCCAGATATGAGGACCTAGAAAGATGGCCAACAAACATGTGAAAAAAAAGTTGCTGTGGAGCGTTAAAAAAAAAAAAAACACACAAAAAGTTGATATACTATGTTTATATACATCTGTGAATGAATGTGCTTAGAGGTAAATCTCACACTACACATGGTGAAAGTGATTAATTAGTGATTAATTGAGAGAAGATGACTTTCACTCACTACTCTACATTTCTGGAGTGTTTCCATTTTTCAACATAACTCTAACCATTTTATTTATTTGGGAAAGGGGAAGAAGAGAGAGGACACCAAAAATAAAATGTGCTTTGAAGTTTTGCTAAGGGGAGTGGTATGTTACTGAAACTTTTTTTTGGAAAATAACCTGGGGTGCTTGTTTAGGTGTAAATATAGTAAGAGAGACACTGACAAAATGAAAAGCACACAGTACGTAAAACAATAGATCTCCCTTCAGTCCTAGGCAGACCTCAAAACACACCCATACATATGGAAACAAGGTCTGTAACAGATGGCTTTATAACATCGGCAGAGGAAGGAGGTGCTGTTTAATAAGTGGTGCTGAGCCAACTGGTTATACATGGGGAAACTAAAATTAGACCCCCACACTTCATACAAAAATAAATTCCAAATCGATTAAAAATCTAAATGTGAGAAGCATTTTTAGAGGAAAAGCTTTTAGTTTTTCAAACTTGAGTATGATATTAACTGTGGGTTTGTCATAAACGGCCTTTATTATGTTGAGATATGTTCCCTCTATACCAACTTTGATGAGAGTTTTTTTTTTAACATGAATGGATGAATTCTGTCAAATGCTTTTTCTGCATCTATTGAGATGATCGTGTGATTTCTATCCTTCCTTTTGTTAATGTGGCATATTACAATGACTGATTTGTGAATATGAACCATTCTTGCATCCTTAGAATAAATCCAACTTGATCATGGTGCATGATCCTTTTTATATACTGTTGGATTCGGTTTGCTAATATTTTGTTGAGGATTTTTGCATCATTATTCATCATAGATACTGGCCTATATAATCTTTTTTGTAGTGTCTTTGGTTTTGGTTATCAGGGTAATGTTGGCCTTGTAGAATGAATTTGGGAGTGTTCCCTCATTTTCAATTTTTTGAAGTAGTTTGAGAAGGATAGGCATTCGCTCTTCTTCACATGTTTGGTAGAATTCCCCTTTGAAGCTGTTGGATCCTGGACTTTTGTTTGCTAGGAGTTATTTTATTACTGATTCAATTTCACTACTAGTGATCAGTCTGTTCAGGTTATCTATTGCTTTGGCCAAAAAGTTCCTTTGGTTTTTAAGTAAAAATAAAAGACACATTTTTCATTTTCACCAAGAACTCTATTGAACAACGTATTCACCCTTTTGTTCCACTACCTTCTGCCATTTTTCAGGCAACTTCATAATTCCATCTTCCCAAAGCTTTTTATCTTTTTGAGCAAAGAACTGTTCCAGGTGCCTTTTACAGTCTTCCAGGGAAATGAAATTTTTTCCATTAAGAGAATTTCGTAAAGACCGAAATAAATGGAAATCCGAAGATGCAATGTCTGGTGAATACAGCAGATGAATCAGAACTTCCCAGCCAAGCTGAAACAGTTTTTGCCTGGTCATCAAAGAAACATGTGGTCTTGCATTATCCTGATGGAAGATTATGTGTTTTCTGTTGACTAATTCCGGACACTTTTCATAGAGTGCTGCTTTCAGTTGGTCTAACTGGGCGCAGTACTTGTTGGAATCAATTGTTTGGTTTTCCGGAAGGAGCTCATAATAGAGGACTCCCTTCCAATCCCACCATATATACAACATCACCTTCTTTGGATGAAGACCGGCCTTTGGTGTGGTTGGTGGTGGTTCATTTTGCTTGCCCCACAGTCTCTTCCGTTCCACATTGTCGTACAGTATCCACTTTTCATCGCCCATCACAATTTGTTTTCAAAATGGAATGTTTTCATTACGTTTCAGTAGAGAATCTCATGCGGAAATAAGGTCAAGAGGTTTTTTTCGCTTAACTTATGTGGAACCCAAACATCAAAGCAATACACATAACCAAGCTGGTGCAAATGATTTTCAGTGCTTGATTGGGATATTTTGAGTATGTCGGCTATCTCCCATGTGGTATAATGTTGATTTTTCTCAATTTGATCGCTATCAACTTCAACTGGTCTACCTGACCGTGGAGCATCATCCAGCAATATCTCCAGCATGAAACTTCACAAACCACTTTTGACACATTCGATCAATCACAGCACCTTCTCCATACACTGCACAAATCTTTTTTTGCATTTCAGTTGCATTTTTACCTTTCTTGAAATAATAAAAACTAATATGACAAAAATGTTGTTTTCCTCCATTTTCAATATTAAAATGGCTACACAAAAATTCACCCATTTTGATAAGTTTTTTAAATGCATGCTGACATGACAGCTGTCACAATACAATCTAACAAAATTATTCTGAATGAAGTTAAAGACAACTAAATACTACTAGAGCCATCTTAGGGAAAAAAACAAACTTTTTGGCCTACCCAATATATCTTCCTGATTCAGTTTTGGAAGACTGTATATTTCTAGGAATGTATCCATTCCTTCCAGGTCAACCAATTTGTTGGCATAAAACTGTTCATAGTATTCTCTTATGTTTTTTGTATCTCTGTGGTATTGGTTGTAATTTCTCCTCTTTCATTTATTTTATTTGGGACCTCTCTCCTTTTCTTAATGAGCCTGGCTAAAGGCTTATCAATTTTGTTTACCTTTTCAAAAAAAGAAAAACAGCTCTTGGTTTCATTGATTTTTTCTATTTTTTTCGGGGGAGTGCTGTCTCAATTTTATTTCCACTCTGATCTTTATTATTTCCTTCCTTTTGCTGACTTTGAGCTTTGTTTGTTCTTCCTTTTCTAATTACTTTGGATGATAGGTTAGGTTGTTTACTTGGGATTTTTCTTGTACACGATACAAGATTAAAATACAGAAATCTGTTGATTTTTTAATACACTGATAATGAACTATCATTAGTTCAGAAATCCAAAACTAATTCCATTTAAAACTGCATCAAAAAGAATAAAATACATAGGAATAAACTGAAAGACCTATACTCTGACAATTATATAACACTGATGAAGGAAACTGAAGATGATACAAAGAAATGGAAAGATATCCCTGTTCATGAACTGGAAGAATTAATATTGTTGAAATGTCCATACTACTCAAAGCAATCTACAGATTTAATGCAATTGTTATCAAAATATCTAGAATACCCAGGACAGTTCTCAGAGAAGTACAAGAAATAATCCTAACATTTATATGGAACCACAGAAGACTATAAAGCAATCTGGAGGAAAAAAAAGAAAAACAAAGCTGGGGGCATCACTGACTTCCTGACTTCAGACTACACTACAAAGCTACAGTAATCAAAACAGGAATGTACTGGCACACACAAAAAAACACCCTGACATATCGAGCAATGGAATAGAGAGCCCAGAAATAAATGCACCAACATATGGTCAATTAATCTATGACAAAGGAGGCAAAAATATACAACAGGGGGGCTTCCCTGGTGGCGCAGTGGTTGAGAGTCCA